TCTTGCAGGTGCTACATTAACCCATGCTATCCCAAACATAAGTTTAAATCATTTTGTTTCTTATTGTGGTTATTTATTCCTTTCAGTGCCAGGCAATCCCATCTGGGCTCTGGGGCATTATCATAGGGAACCAAAAGAATAGACCCCCCCTACCCACAAACAAGCTTCTTGTAAGAGTATAAACTAATTAGTGATGGTTCCTTCGAAGTCAGAGTGCATCCTCTTGAGAGGCGAGAAACCAACAGTTTGCATAAAAATAAACCAGATCTGTAAAATGAATGTGCACGGTAAACACCGATTCTGGAACAAGACTAAATCCAGCAGTGGACAAACAACCAGAACGTACCGACAAAGTTTTACAAATGTGAACACGAAGAAAAATTTATAATCTTCATAAAATGGGTACAAAGAGATCTGTTCTGGGGAACAATAAATAGAGCAGGTTTTCTCCTTCAGGTTACTCTTTCAAGGTTTGCCTGTCGACCCAAAGGCCTTGGGTGTGAACCAAAACTTGGGCAGATTTTCTTTAACAACTGACCTTAACTCCCAGGTGGAACCAGCCTTAAATGGGTACCAGAAAATGTCCTGGAGAGTAAAGGTGGCTGGTGAAGTGTAGGTATACATGAATGTGTGTCTATGTATTCATATCTGAATGAATGTGTATGTATGAGTGTGCGTGTATGTATGTGCATGTATGTGTGAATGAATGTGTATTTATGAGTATGTATGTACATGTATGGTCGGCTCTGTGGCTAAGTCGAACGCTTCGTAATGCCGGGGTGTCGGGTTCGATCCCAGCTGCGGGCCATGCGCCTTGTGTTGGTTTCGACAGTGGTATCAAAAAGCCGACCGTCCAGAAAGCAATGGCAAACTACTGGATATAAATTTGCCTAGAGAAACCACACAACAGCCAGGGGCTGCTGGGGTTGGTTCTACAATGTCCTGTAAAGGATACGCAACTAACCTATGTACATGTATGAGTGTATATGAGTGTCATCTGATCATGTGTATGCATACATGTGTGGTAAATATTTACATATGTACGAGGCGTGTTTTTTTAAGTAAGGCCCGTTTTGACCTCAGCGACAAACACAGATGGAAAACGTAAATGTGCGTATGTAGTATGTTTATGTGGTTCATTAGCTAGCTGTGTGTTATTTTTTCACTGTCAAAATCTTGTGTGATGCTGCGTGTGAATGATTTATATAAAATGCAAAAATATAAATACTCCAGCCAGAGGTTCAAGCTGTAATCCATTTTTTGTTAGCAAAAACAACAGTCCGGCAGAAATTCACAGGCAGCTCATTGAGGTTTATGGGCCACATGTTATGACTGATAGTATAGTTAGGAAATGGTGTTGAATGTTTAAAGAAGGGCGAACAAATGCCCATGATAAAGATCATAGTGGTCGGCCGAGCGTGATGACAGACGATTTGGTTGAAGAAATGAACCAACTAATTCAGGAAAATCGTTTTACAATTTCTGTGTTGTCTGTCAAATTTTCTGAACTATCACGTTCACTGATTTACAACATTGTGACAAACACACTGGATATTTAAAAAAAAAAAAAAAAACTCTTTGCCATCGAAAACAAAAGATGTAAATTGCTGTCCTGTGGAATTGTGCTTTTGCTCGATAATGCTCCACCTCATGTCACAGATGGAACTGTTTTACTGCTGCAAACATTTAACTAGAAAATTGCTGACCACCAGCCTTACAGCCCGGATCTGGCACCAAGTGATTACCACCTTTTCATGCACCTAAAGAACTGGCTGGCATCCCAGACGCTTGAAACTGGTAATGAACTGCAAACAGGGGTTAATGAAAGGTTCAAGACACTAGCAGTAGACTTTTATCACATTGGATCTTAGAACCATCAGATCTTGATACCCAGTCCTTACAAACCCGAGTGGATCAGTCACAGTTACGATGGTTTGGACATGTATGCAGAATGGGAGAAAATCGGCCACCATGGCAGGCATGGGAAGCTAAGAACCAGGGAACCAGACCTCCAGGACGACCCAGGGTGAGCTGGGAAGACAACATCCGACAGTCCCTAACTGACAGAGGACTGAAATGGAACAAAGCCAGAAAGAAAACTGCTGATAGAGACGTCTGGCGATCTCTCTGGCAAACCTCTACACCCCAAGGTAGAAGAGGAGCGACTAAGTAAGTAAGTAAGTAAGGATCTAAGAACCTGGTGCCACGATACCAAAAATGTGTTGAAGACAAGGGTGACTATTTTGATAAATAATGTAAATGTTTGGTTCACTTTTGGCTGCAATAAATCATTTTTATAGATGATAATTATTTTTTAAATTTTATACTGGGGCTTATTTAAAAACTGTGCCTCGTATGTATATGCTTTAGAGTGTTTGTGTTGGTTTAAATGAGGGGTACATGTGTGTGTGCATGCGTGCATGCATGTGCGAGTATGCATGCATATGAGTGTATGCATTTAGTATGTTTGATCATATTTTTTTCCATCCATGCTTTTGTGTTGTTCAAGTTATGTATTTTGCTATGAACATAAGATGATTTACAAATAGCATGTATGAAAGATGAGTGTTTGAAGGGACTGACAGCAAGACAGGCGTGCGTGCCCAACTTGTGACCTCTTTTAAACAAAGTTTGTTTGTTCATCCATTCGACCAAATCTCTCATTCAGAGATGACTTGCCTATAAAAATAAAAGTCTAGCTTCATATACCTGATGTGCACTTGTCTCATACCGGTGCATTACCAACAGTCTAGTGTAAAAACATGTCTCAAAAGGGTGAATTCATTTTAGTCTAGTATGAAAACCTGTCTCATACTGGTGCATTCACATCAGTCTAGTATGAAAACTTGTCTCACACTGGTAAATTCACATAAGTCTAGTATGAAAACATGTCTCATACTGATGCACTAACATCAGTCTAGTATGAAAACTTGTCTCATACTGGTGTATTAACATCAGTCTAGTAAAAAAAACTTGTCTCATACTGGTGCATTCACATCAGTCTAGTATGAAAACTTGTTTCACAATGGTACATTCACATCAGTCTAGAATGAAAAAATTTCTCATAACCTTCAGCCTTGATTCCATAACAGATAACCACAAATCAAATGTGGCTTTTCTGCCAAGATATGCATGAAACCTGTGTCATATTGGTACATTCACATCACAGTATGTAAACCTGTGTCATCAATCACTGTCGAGTAAAAGCTGTCTTTCTTCACATACACAGTCTAGCAAGAAAACCTGTGTCATATTGGTAGTCACATCACTGTCTAGTATACAACTGTCTTTCATTCTGTCACAGTCTATAAAGAAAACCTGTATCATACTGGTACATTCACATTGTCTAGTATTGAAACCTGTGATATTGGTACATTCACATCACTGTCTAGTATGTAAACCTGTTTAAAATCACTGTAGTATGGAAACATGTTCACACTCACATCCTACTAAGAAACACTGTGTCATGTTGGCTACATTCACATCACTGTTTACTAGTATAAAAATTATGTTCTCTTATTTACATTTCACATCACAGTCTAGTCAGAAAAACCTGTATCATACTGGTACATTCACATCACGGGTCTAGTATGGAAACCTGTGTCATACTGGTACATTCACATCACTGTCTAGTATGGAAACCTGTGTCATACTGGTACATTCACATCACTGTATAGTACTGAAAACCTGTGTCATACTGGTACATTCACATCACTTGTCTAGTATGCCAAAACCTGTGTCATATTGGTACATTCACATCACTGTCTAGTATGGAAAACTGTGTCGACTCTACACATTCATATCACTGTCCTTAGTAATGATCAAACCTGTTGTCATATTGGTACATTCACATCAATTCTGTCGTATCTAAAACCTGTGTCATATTGGTATATTCACATCACTGTCTAGTATAGAAACCTGTGTCATATTGGTACATTCACATCACTGTCTAGTATAGAAACCTGTGTTCATATTGGTACATTCACATCACTGCTCTCGCCCTTTTGGCCAAACCTGTGTGGATATTGGCATGTTTTCCCACACTGTCTGTATAGAAGAAACCTGTGTCATATTGGTGTTTCACATCACTGGTCTCGTATGGAGTACCGTGTCATTTTGGTACATTCACTGAGTCTTATAGGCACCAAAGTCAGATTGGTGGTAACATTCACATCACTGTTTCGTAGTATAGAAACATAGTGTCACTATTGGGACATTTCACATGTATTCTGTTCTAGTATAGAAACCTGTGTCATATTGATACATTCACATCACTGTCTAGTATGGAAACCTGTGTCATATTGGTACATTCACATCACTGTCTAGTATGGAAATCTGTGTCATATTGGTACATTCACATCACTGTCTAGTATGGAAACCTGTGTCATATTGGTACATTCACATCACTGTCTAGTATGGAAATCTGTGTCATATTGGTACATTCACATCACTGTCTAGTATAGAAACATGTGTCATACTGGTACATTCACATCACTGTCTAGTATAGAAACCTGTGTCATATTGGTACATTCACATCACTGTCTAGTATAGAAACCTGTGTCATATTGGTACATTCACATCACTGTCTAGTATGGAAACCTGTGTCATACTGGTACATTCACATCACTGTCTAGTATGGAAACCTGTGTCATACTGGTACATTCACATCACTGTCTAGTATGGAAACCTGTATCATACTGGTACATTCACATCACTGTCTAGTATGGAAACCTGTGTCATATTGGTACATTCACATCACTGTCTAGTATAGAAACCTGTGTCATATTGGTACATTCACATCACTGTCTAGTATGGAAACCTGTGTCATATTGGTACATTCACATCACTGTCTAGTATGGAAACCTGTGTCATACTGGTACATTCACATCACTGTCTAGTATAGAAACCTGTGTCATATTGGTACATTCACATCACTGTCTAGTATAGAAACCTGTGTCATATTGGTACATTCACATCACTGTCTAGTATGGAAACCTGTGTCATATTGGTACATTCACATCACAAATGACCAACTTATCAATAAAAGAGCCAACGAGAAGCTTCTTTTCAAATACAACAGCAGCAGATGAGCCTGATATCAAGTCACCCTCATCAAACAACAGTTCTGTCACAGATGTTATGTTGCCATTGGTGACACGGATATGCAGCACCTGTAACAAAATTTTAAAATACGTAGAAGGAACATGTTAAACTCTTCCATCCCAAGTGACACTTGATGTGTGGCTAACTCTAGTCCCTGATTTTCCTACATAGCATATTATGTTCTCTTATTTACAACATACATTTAGTCAGAAGATACTAAAGAAATCTGGCTTCCCCTATAACCAGATTAATGAATTTTTTTTTTAGTTCAATAATTTAAGTATAATTAGAGTACCTTTCAGAATTTGTAAATACCACTGTATCTGTATAGCACTGATCTCTGTGGTGCCCTGTCTGATTCCAATCTTGTTACATGGCCAAACCATTTGATTTGTTGCTACCTATACAGTTTAGTATCTGTTCTGTGCTGACTCTCTTCCTGATATAACTGTTCCTTAGTCGATCTTTCCTCGTTACACATAGCAGAGTACGTAAACATTTCATTTCTGTCGTGACTCTTTTGCTTTTATCTAATTGTTATATTCCATCGCTGCTTTTTCTCTTTACATATCTTCCTTTTCTTCCTCATTCATCCTTTAAAGGGCAGTGGCATGTTGTGGTTTACCGCTAGGCTGCAATATCTGTGCCTTTTGGCCTATTTTCCGCAAACCTCTAAGTAGTCGCATTTTATGATATGCTTTTATGGGGAGGAGTGGGACTATCCCTCCCCTGTCCAACCCCCAAATGGGACCCACAACACAAACAGACTCTTAAAAAAAAACCTCACATTGCTATATACAACCTTAGTCTCATCACTTTAGATGTCTCAAATTGCTATATACCACCTCTGCTTATCATTTCAGATGTCTCATATTGCTATATACTATCTTTGTCTTATCACTTTAGATGTCTGACACTGCTATGTACCACCTTTGGCTTATCATTTCAGATGTCTCATATTGCTATTTACCTCCTTTGGCTTATCATTTCAGATGTCTCATATTGCTATACTGCTCTTTTGGCTTATCACTACAGATATCTCTTATTGCTATATACCACCTTTGTCTTACTTCTGATGTCTCATATTGCTATATACCACCTATGTCTTATCACTTCAGATGTTTCATATTGCTATATACCTCCTTTGTCGTATCATTTCAGATGTCTCAAACTGCTATAACCACCTTTGACTTATCACTTCAGATGTCTCTTATTGCTATATACCGCCTTTGTCTTATCACTTCAGATGTCTCTTATTGCTATATACCACCTTTGTCTTATCACTTCAGATGTCTCATATTGCTATATACCACCTTTGGCTGATCACTTCAGATGTCTCAAACTGCTATAACCTCTTTTGTCTTATCATTTCAGATGTCTTAAACTGCTATAACCACCTTTGGCTTATCACTTCAGATGTCTCTTATTGCTACATACCACCTTTGTCTCATCACTTCAGATGTTTCATACTGCTAAATGCCCCCTGTGGCCTATCATTTCAGATGTCTCACCTTGCTGTATACGACCTTTTCCATGTCCTTGTAGATGCCTAACAATGTTATATTTCATTTCTGCTGTATCACTTTAGGTGTTATATTCCACCGTTGCCTAACAAGGTTAAAGTCCACCACTGTCTTATCCCTTTAGATGCCCAATATTACTTACTTTACCATATTTGTAAGAACAATGTGTTAAAAGTTTGGAGGCATTCAAATTGTTAAATTGCTTACAAATCCTCCTCATCAATCATAAACCACTTCTGCCATTAAACAGCTTACAAATATGATTACTTACAATTTACTCAAATTATAATTTGTTCAGAATTGAAAAATGTTGATTAATATGTTTACCAAAGCAAAACAAAAAAATATATATTTAATTAATCCACTGTTTACCTGAGAAGATGCTTTGTGTTGCCACGGTTTATCCAGGTGTCGAAGAAACTGATGTAAAATTGGGTGGGCTCCAACAAAAAGGTCTCCTGTAACTGGGTCCAGAACAGCACCATCAGGATGAGTATGTAACGGATAATACTGGGGAAAGATAGGTATGCAATGGGTAATACTGGGGAGAGATAGGTATGCAATGGGGAATACTGGGGAAAGATAGGTATGCAATGGGTAATACTGGGAAAGATAGGTATGCAATGGGTAATACTGGGAAAGATAGGTATGCAATGGGTAATACTGGGGAAAGATAGGTATGCAATGGGTAATACTGGGAAAGATAGGTATGCAATGGGGAATACTGGGGAAAGATAGGTATGCAATGGATAATACTGGGGAAAGATAGGTCTCCAATGGGTAATACTGGGGAAAGATAGGTCTCCAATGGGTAATACTGGGGAAAGATAGGTATGCAATGGGTAAAACTGGGGAAAGATAGGTATGCAATGGGTAATACTGGGGAAAGGTAGGTATGCAATGGGTAATACTGGGGAAAGATAGGTATGCCATGCATAATACTGGGGAAAGATAGGTATGCAATGGGTAATACTGGGGAAAGATAGGTATGCCATGGATAATACTGGGGAAAGATAGGTATGCAATGGATAATACTGGGGAAAGATAGGTATGCCATGGATAATACTGGGGAAAGATAGGTATGCAATGGGTAATACTGGGGAAAGATAGGTATGCAATGGGTAATACTGGGGAAAGATAGGTATGCAATGGGTAATACTGAGGAAAGATAGGTATGCAGTGGGTAATACTGAGGAAAGATAGGTATGCAATGGATAATACTGAGTAAGATAGGTATGCAGTGGGTAATACTGAGGAAAGATAGGTATGCAATGGGTAATACTGGGGAAAGATAGGTATGCAATGGGTAATACTGAGGAAAGATAGGTATGCAATGGGTAATACTGAGGAAAGATAGGTATTACAGTGGGTAATATTGAGGAAAGATAGGTATGCAATGTGTAAAATTGAGGAAAGATAGGTATGCAATGGGTAATACTGAGGAAAGATAGGTATGCAGTGGGTAATATTGGGGAAAGATAGGTATGCATGTGTAATTTTTGGGAAAGATAGGTATGCAATGGGTAATACTCGAACAAGATGTGTAAGTAATGGAATATACTGGGAAAGATAAGTTTGCAATGGTTAACACTGGGGAAAGATAAGTATGCAATAGATGATACTGGAAAAAGATGGGTAATTAATGGATAATACTGGGAAACACGACTATGGATCAGATAATACTGTGGAAAGAAAGTATGTAATTGATTATATTAGGGAAAGATGGATTTTGGGAACAGCTTCTCAATCGAGAAGACACTTGATGAGGATGGTGATGATGAAAGCTGCACAGCTGATTCTAAATGATATCAATGGAACAGGGAAGAAGCATGATCACCTGTGCTAGCTGACACAGGCTTGAACATCGTAGTGTAGGCAACAATCAAGGAGCTGTACCAAAGGTTTTGGGAAACAGCGTCTGCTACAACTAAAATTTCAATGCCCTACAGTCTACATAAGAACCTTGATACTCTTTTAAACTGAGGCTGGTTTTCTGTCAGACATTTCCTCTGTACAGCTTGCTGCATTTGGCCTCTAGCAAAGTGGGACAGTCTGTCTTTCTTTGTCTGAATCCATAGAAGTCGATCTGCACCTGTATCTCCCAAGCATGTGTGTCCAATTTGGTATCTTTTAGGTTGCGTTTGCATATGTCCCTATAACAAGGCCTATCTGTTTCTGCAGATCTTTCCCATGTTTGCTTGAGCATGGTGGTGCTTGTTGTGTGTCGAATCTGTATTTAATTAAGGATATATATATATATATATATATATATATATATATATATATATATATATATATATATATATATATATATATATATATGTATGTATGTATGTATGTGTGTGTGTGTGTGTGTGCGTGCGTGCGTGCATGCGTGCGTGCGTGCGTGCGTGTGTGTGTGTGTTCTCTCTCTCTGATAATTTGCATGTAGAAGGGTTTATAATGCATGAGTTAACACTCAGGCCAAAGACTTTAATCTGTCTAGACCCAGTAAACAGAGATGAAGCTAGAAGCTAGAGTTACCACGAGTTGAGTTTAAGCCCCAGGTATAACCGACAAGCTAACCGTGTGCCTCAAGGAGAATGCTCGGTCACACGGAATAAACTCGAACAAGTCTCAAGCGCTGTGTGGGAAGTTTCCTGCTACGAGGACGTTTTGTGTTCTGGCTCACAGCTGTTTGCCACAGAGACGAGGTGCTATTTGCCTCAAGCCAGTGTATAATGTTTTACCCTTATAATTCAGTCTGTTATTTAACAGCGAGTCAGAGTAGGTGTATATCGAACAGTGTTGGTTTCTACTGTTAACTCCGTTTGGTTTGCCGGCTTGTGTATAGGCACATAATGGCGGCGCGTAAGCTCGTGGGTCTTAAGACCACAGAGCTAATTTGTCTGCATCCCCAGAGCGCTGCTTGTAATTAATTCTGAGATGTGTGAGCTTGGGCACTGATGTGCTATGCATTATGGTGATGACACTGTGCAGGGTTATTTTTCTGCATCCTTATTTGTGCGTGCTGGTGAGCGCGAACGTCTTGTCAATAAATATACTTGTGACGGTATAACTCCCTGACTGAACTTACTGTAACCTCGTGTTCAGGAACTCCGATTATTTTAATCACTAGATACTTGACTTGTGTGGAGCTGTCAGGGTGGACCTTATTGCTGAATGATGCCATGGTGGCCTAAGATGTCGCATAATCTACATCAGCGTGAAGTCAGCCCCAGCAGCTTTACAACAGTGCTATACATCAGTCTACTAGTAGGTACCTGCTGAAGTATGAGGGAATCATCCTCCTGCCGCTTGTAGACTCGAATCTCTGAGCTCAAGCACATGAGCACATACACAAACCTACGGATGAAACAAACACAAGACCACAAATCAAAATCACAAACCTAAAGAAACACGAGTCAGGAACTTATAGATCTGATCTTGTAATAATCACAGTGACACAACTTACATTCTACAATGTGGCATGTTGTATGGTCTAGCTACATTGAGTCATGATTTACAGACACAGTGACACAACATACATTCTACAGTCAGTCTCCCTGACAAAGTTATCAATCTGACATTGGACTACGGGTTACTGTGTAACCATTTTGTGGCACCCCTGATCTTTGTTGGGCTATACAGTTGAACAGTTTCCAGGATGTGCACCTGTTTGATTCTTCTCCTTGAGATGTTAATCCTACAGACTGCAACTCTGGAGGGGAGAACTAATTTTAAAACATTGTCTAGCTGCAAGTCAGCATCTGTGGCTTAGGTGTTGAGAATGCGATTCATAATGCCACGGTGCCGGGTTCGATCTCAGCTGCGGACAATTTGTCTTGCGGTGGTTTTGACAGCGGTGCCGCGAGCTGACAGTTCAGAAAGGAATGACAAACTACTGAACGTAAAATCTGCTTATAAAAAACGACAACAGCCAAACAATGTGGGAGTTGGTTCTGCAACATTCTGTATAGGATATGCAACTAACTTTAACTAGCTGCTTGCCTTGTGTTCTGATGATCATGGATCCGTCCTACGAACGCATCGTTCAGTTAATGAGTGCAGCTTTCAACAGAGATCCTGGGGATCGTTGCTTGAGCTATGGAGTTAGTGCTCTGAGCAACACTCTCGATCGGTGGCCAGCCATTCCGCGGACAGACACTGAGTCATATGGATTACCTGGAGCAACAGCGTCGATCATCTCGGCTTTAACTTTACACTTTACATTCCATAATATTAGTTAGTTAATCGACTAATCATCCTCATTGCACACTGGACAAGTGCGTAAGTGCTCGGATCCCATGTTATAATCAAAGATGAACATATTTTTATGATGGTTTTAGCTCAGATGCTCGAACCCTGTAGCAATGAATACTGAATAACAATGTAGCGTTTTGTAATGTTCTTCCCAGTGTAGGTTCTGAGGCCCCATTGGGGGGGAGAACAAGAACAGACCCACTGCCCTCCCCCCCAACAAGCATGTCATAAGAGTTGGGTAAGTGGGGGGCTTTCTTTAAAGTTGGAGTGCACTTACCTAAGAGGCAAGGAATCAACAATCTGCATATAAATTAGTCAGATCTGTAAAACACATGCGCATGCAACATTCAGGAGGAACAATCAGAATTTTCCAGCAGAGTTTACAGAAGTAACGTTCTACTTACAACAAGACATGATCTATGGACACAGTGCCCCAACTTACATTCCACAATGTGACATAACAATGCCAGTTGCACTGGTCAGACCCGTGACGACAGTTCTGTAGCCTCCACTCTCAGAATAAAGAACCACGTTGGACCATGGCATCAGTGAAAACAACTCCAGCAGCATTGTGAACCAAGACTGCTGCTCGTATAGAAAGTTGGTTGCATAAAAGGAATCTTCTCCGATAGCCAAAACATCGTACACCCTGTCAAGTCCGGAAAAAAACAATTAAGACTGGTAAAAACATTTGTGTTCTGTCAACTAATTATGTCAGACAAAAGAGCATAGCAGCTGGCCCATGTACCTGCCGACATAGTGGTCAGTTTGCACCCGTATCTCCCTGTGTGGGTTCCAGTGCCCCACTGTAGGGTCAGGGATGGGACAGATTCTCTTCCCCCCCCCAAACATAACAAGTATGTTGCAAAAGGCACCTAACTGGGAGTCTGGCTGAAATCATGTGCTGAGATGAGACGCAGATGTCGCAGCCAAGCTGTAAACAGCAATCAAACTGTCAAACACCCTTTTAAGGGCAAACGCAGAAGAAGAAGATTCATCAATGCAGCTTTTCACAACTGACCTTGTCACCTAAGTCAGTCAGTCGAGCTTTTCATGAGGACAACAAAATGGGTACTGGGAAGTAAAGGGCACCCAATATGGTGTTGATAACTTCACTCACTGTGCAATGCTGGCTTTTAAGATTCACCATTTGCGCTAACTGTGAGTTGTAAGTCTGGTGTGAGACTGTTAGTGTTGGCACTTCTGACTGCTGCCTTATGCATTCTTACTTTGCATGTGCAACTTCAAGATTCTGCTGGGAATGACAAGTTTTTCCACTCTTGTTGACCCCAGAGCTTTAGTGGTCGAAAGCAATAATCCTGCTTCTGCAGAAAATCAACTAGAGACTATTGTCCTGGCAGGCATATAATTGACTATGGAATACTGTCTTTGCAGGCACGTGATTGACGAGGGACTACTGTCTTTGCAGGCACGTGATTGACGAGGGACTACTGTCTTGGCAGGCACGTGACTAACTAGGGACTACTGTCTTGGCAGGCAAGTGACTAATGAGGGACTACTGTCTTGGCAGGGCCCCACTTTGGGGTAGAGGAGAATAGACCCAATACCTGCTTAAGTGTGTCATAAAAGGCGACTAATTCGGGGTGTTTCCTTCAAAGTCAAAGTACATCTGCATGAGAAGTAAGGAACCAATAGTCTGCACACATAAAAAGCCTCATCTGTAAAATGAATGTGCACATAAAACTCAAGTCCTGCAACAAGACCAAAGTCCAGAAGTGGATAAAGAACCAGAACTTTCCACTGGAGATTACAGCTGGTGAATGTGAAGAAGGAAGCAAAATATAATCCTTAATTTTTTTTTACTGATAATATTTAAAAAAATATAATACATTCATCAGTATGACAGTTAGAAAATATGGGTTCTGTGACAGAAAGTAAAGTCTCAGCTAACCAGGAACCTAGAAACTAAAGACCCAGCCTAGAGTGGGTACCAGGTAAAGTCCTGGGAAGTAAATGTAGCCACCATATGTTGACCACATCATCACTGAGTGTGGATAGGTGTTAAATACAGGTCTAGCATTATTTGCCCAATAAACCTGGAGGCGTGGTAAAGGGTTCTTGACTTTTTTACTTTACTGCAGTGATTCCCAAACTGCGCCGTGGCACCCCGGAAGCCGCAACCTCTTCACAGGGGTGTTGCAAAATATTCGAAGATACAGGAGTTTAATTTTTTTTTATCTCTTAGATACGAATAGTCATACTTTCACTTGGGTTAGGGTGCCGTGGAAAATTTTTTAATTAAATAAGTGCGCCGCAACTAATAAAAGTTTTGGAACCGCTGCTTTACAGTAAACTAAAGTATATAGAACAGGAACAGTCTTCACTGAGAGACTTGTATAAACGCAGAAGTGGGTGAACAGTCAGACATACCGACAGACAGAAGATAAAACAACAAGAGAACCAATAACTTACACTCTCAGTTTACTACTTGTAAAGGTTTTCACATGACGGAGCAGATTTTCTTCAGGATCATACACGAACTTCTCGATTCTGTCAGCTTCCTTAGGTGGATGATTGACAACATACACCACATGGTGCCCTGTAGTTATCACACAGAAAGGCTTTCATCAGATCATCTACAGCTTTTAAGTACAAACAAAGAGCCCTTTAAACAAATTTGTGTATGCTAGGCTAATTTTTATAGACTGATCGATACTTAATGGGTGAATTGGTCAAAATAATGCCAGGGATTCAACTCCCCAGGATATTGCCTGGTACCTATTTTAGGTTTGTTGACTTAAGAGCTGTGGTCAAAATAATACCAACCATTCAACTCCCCAGGATATTACCTGGTACCTATTTTAGGCTTGTTGACTTAAGAGCTGTGGTCAAAATAATACCAGCCATTCAACTCCCCAGGATATTACCTGGTACCTATTTTAGGTTTGGTGACCTGGGATTTGTGGTCAATCTTGAAATGTAAAAAAAAAAAAAAATCTCAATATTAAAATTACCATGCCATTATCTTGAAACCTGGCAATATTGTTCTTTCCATTGTGGGGAAAACAAGAATAGATCCACTGCCTTCCCAAAAAGCATGTCCTAAGAGTCAACTAACCTGACGCTTCGTCTGAAGTCAGAGTGCATCTGCCTAAGAGGCAAGGAACCAACAAACAGTCTGTATATAAACTTGTTAAATCTGTACATTGGATGTGCAAGCTACACTCAAAACCACCCAGGTTCTGGAACAAGACTAAATTCAAGAAGTGGACAAACAACGAGAACTTTCTGCCAGAGTTTACAGCCGGCGAATGTGAAAAAGAATATTGATGTTCAGGGTGTCTCGAGTGTTAAACATGTGACATCGCAGCTGAGACGAATTTTATGGTTTTCAATTGAAGCCCCTTTGTGTGTGTGTGCGTGTGTATGCCTGTATGTGTGTGTGTATGTATGTATGTATGTATGTGTATATATATATAAAATATACATTTTATATACACAGCTGCTTGAAAATAACAGGGACAAAGCGCATATAGATTAACATTGGTGAAGTACACACATGACAAATGTTTGCTATTTTAGGAGTCAATTTTTGCTTGTGTAGGAATGAGATATATCATGTTTGGGACTTCTCTTTTATTCACCCTCTCATTATCCTTCTTCCATCTGTCTCTTCTCTTCTACTTTTCCTTATAATTTTTTTCTACTCTATTTTATCTTCTGAAATTGTCAGTGTGAATATATTTAAATGCAAGCAGCAGTCATAATAATACAATAAAACCTGGTCAATACGAACTCACTTAACTCTTCTCATCCCAGAAGTTCATAGTTGATACCCCTGTGAGTAAATTGTGAAATCAACAAACTAATGTGGACTTATCTGAAAACCACTGGCAGGCAGAACAAGAAGAAGAAGAAGAAGCAGAATAGTTTTAGTAATTCTCCATGTTTCTGTTCCATATAGCAGTCCTGATTACTACTTCTTCTTCTCAGAATTCTAAACCCTTGAGATTCATTGCCGCAGATATCACCCGCCTCCATTCATCTCTGTGACTGACCATCTATTTCCAGCTGGTGACTTCAAGTGTTTGTTGGCCTGCTTCATGGCTTTGGGTGGAGAAACGCATTAGGGAGGATGCTAGCCTTATCCTAGGAAAAGGAAATACAACCTGAAAACTTTATATTATGGCATGGCAGACAAAGCCCTTTGCCTTGGCTAGCAGCTGGTCTAGGAGGGAAGATCTGATAGGTGGATAAACAGATTAATGTTTTTCTGATTTGGAAACTTTTGCAGCCTGTTTTGTTCCAAACGTACTGGTGTTACCTTTCCTTTAAAGTAAACACGGCACGTCAAAAGAGTGATCATGACGCATGGGCAAAACATTGTCTCTACAATACTGCCCAGGTTTTGTGATATGGTGCAGGTGTCTCTTGCTAGTCAAACTAGTTATCGCCGTGGGCTGCGAGTCCCAGGCCTCCTCAAAGTAAAATATAAAACTATCATTTAGAAAGACATAACGGTGCCAACACAGTATCTGCCATTCTTGCTATATACCCCGAACACCACAGTCTATTAGCTCTCATGATTCCGTAATCAGTGATGATTTAAAGAGATTATGAATTTCAATAGAAGTGATTACACAAAACTAATACCTGTGTCATAGTTTGGCCAAACACTGATCCCATGTGGTCGAAACTTGTCTTGTCTAAAACTGGTGTCTTCAGATACTTTTATTGCAAGCCGTGAGACAACTGGCACTTGTGTGCGGAGGTTCATGCAGTAGATGGCCCCACTAATGTTGTTTCTGGAGTAATGGGACTGGTAGCTGCGGGACAATATGTTCATGCTTAGACCCTGCAACACACAACAAGAGTGGATATTGCTTCAGCTAATGAAACTCTGCAGAGCATCGTTTATATATCCTGTCCTTATTAGGACAAAATTTTTCATTTTTTGGGGCCGCAATATAGCCTGGCCATAAATATGGCCTAAAGGCTGAACGGGGTTTCTGGGACCTCTCCACGGTGATCCTCACCCGCATGGTGGCACATTGTATCATCGGGTGTTTATCGCTTGTGTGATGTCCTGGTGGGGAAGAAAGTCAGTCAACTCTGCAGATCTGAGGACAAAATAAACATTAGAAGGGACATCCCCCCATGCAGATTCTGGGGCCCTATTTGGGGGGGGGGGGCAGAGAAAAGACCAACTGCCCCCTAAAAAGAATGTTGTAAAAGTTGACTAGCAGTGTCTCCTTCGGGGTGCATGTGCCTGGAAGGCAAAGAAGCAACAGTCTGCACACAAATAAGCAAGATCTATAAAACGGGTGTGCAAGCAAAACTCAAGTTCTGGATCTCGATCAAAAACCAGAAGTGGATGAGCAAACCAGAACTTTCCACTGGAGTTTACAGCCAGTGAACGTGAAGAAGAAGGAAGTTATTATTTCAGCTACTGAAACTACAGAACTGATGATGTAATAATAAACCCTAGAATTGACATCTTTATTCTGTCACTTGATTAATTGTATCTTTGATCAGTGACATGAGATGTTTTAACCTAAAAAACAATAATTCTGAATATTATCTATACTTCAGACATGTATTTTCATCTATTGTGTGTACCACCTTACAACAAAGTGCTCCCTATGTAGTATCAGAGATCCTATTGTCTGGAAAATAAAAACAGACCCATTGCCTCCCTAACAAGCATGTCATTAGAGTTGACTAATTGGGGGCTTCCTTTGAAGTTAGAGTGTCTCTGCCTGACAAAAATAACAATCCACATACAAATAAGTCAGGTAAAACGGATGTGCACACAACACTTAGGACCAGAACCAGTACTTTCCTCCGGGGTTTACAGCCTATTAACGCAAAGAATAAGAAGATTTTTTCTGTGTGACATGCGTAAAATGGCTGATTTTTCTAAGGATGTGTTTCTGGGAATATCCAAAAAATGGAAAATATGGCAGCTTGGCTTTTTTTTCTAGGTCACCCGGGTTAAAAATTAAAAAAAAAAAAAGCTGATATGATGCAGATCTAAACCCAAGACCTTCAGACCAGCAGGTGAGCATCTATCCTCTATGCTTCTACAGCTCTGCCATAAACTTTCCAGATGACAAATGACTGAATCCTCTGTAGATACCAGTATCACCCTCTGTGGAATTCTAACCAATGTATCTACTTCTAAAAGAGCCTGGGGACAGGGAGTTCACTGGATGTTAAACTATAACTTTACCAGTTATTGTAGGATTATTCAACATACTGAGTTCCGAGGCCCCACTGGGAGGGGAGCAACAGACCCACTGCCGCCATAATAAACTTGCTGTAAAAGGTGTTTCCTGAAATCAATAGTAAAAGTAGAGGATCCCTTTCCACGCCTTCCTTCGTATTCAACATATAAGTCTAGATCTAAATTTTACAGACCAATCAGCAATCTACTCAATGGGTGATGTGGTTAACATCATGTCAGCCGCCTTACTTCCCAGGACTTTACCTGGTACTCATTTAAGGCTGGGTCAATCAGAGACAGCCAAGGTCATTTTATTTTAAAGTTAGACTCTGTCAGGACCCGGAACCCTATGACCTTCTAATCTACAGGTGAGCGTCTAGCTGATACACCATGGTAGCCCTCAAAATTCGAAGTGTTGGGCCTAAATTTGCAGATAGCACAGCTTAGTTGTAAACCACAACATAACATGCTAACCATCCCCTCAAAAGCAGACACAGAAAAATAATAAGAATAACATCGTCTGCCTCACCCAACCACAACTTTTTTCTTGGAAGTTTTGTGCCTTAACCCTCTCAAGCAATGGATGCTCTTGTGTATAATGAGACAGTACGTTACAAGAACAACCAGTTCACAATATATTTTTTCAACACTCTGAACATATGCCAGCCTTACTGAAGTAATGAATGTTGTCCCATCAGGTAAAGTGAAAAAATTCCCAGATCCAAACTCTGAAACAAATGAAAACTTTGTTAAACCAGCAAAATGTAGTAAAGAATATGACTGGTAATCAAGTTTACATTTACTTTCAACAAATGTGTGCTTACAACTTTTTCTTTTTCATGTTCACTAGCTGTAAACTCCAGCGGAAAGTTCTGGTTGTTCATCCTCTTCTGGACTTAGACATAAGTGTTGCGCGCACACCTATTTTACAGATCTAGCATATTTGTATGCAGACTGTTGGTTCCTTGCTTCTCAGACAGATGCAATCCGACTTTAATTAGTCTATTCTTACATGCTTGTTAGGGAGGCATAAAACTCTGGTGGCACCTTTGGGTCTTTCCAGACGATAGTGTAACACTGTGCTAGAGGAAGGCATGGGAATCACAGCTCAGAGTGAGGGTGAACATCACTAGCATGACCAGCTCACATTCAGAAACATCGGTACATATCACAAAGATGCCCGCATCTCGCGGTCACGAGATTTCGTGCTGGGTCCCACTCATGCTGCAGCCTGTACCCACAAGCTGTACTATGTTGTAGGGGTGTTAGAAAATGTGTTATTTGTCTATACACACCTTGTGCGCCGAAAAAGCGCCTCCATTCGTTCAAGGCCCAACATGAAAGTGTGGAGCTCTCTTTTGTGAGAGGCGACATTGAGCGATGTTTTTTTGTTTGATTTTCATTCCCGAGCAAGGCCTCCATTTCTGTTCTTTTCTCTCTCAATTACGTCTCTCCTGCAACCATCATTGGTCTGAGAATTGGTATCATTTTTGGGTGTGCCATGAAAAGGATCGTGGGGGCCTTACAGAAAATCAACGCTACTCTGCTTGTCGCTCACCAATGCTAACAGCTGAAGGACATTCACGGTGAAGGTCAAGTCGCCAACTAATGCTGCAGTGATTGCAATCAAGAGCGAATGCACAATGCAAGTATCATGCACAGTGCTGGCAGCTAACTGTGTGGAAAAGAGAATGTGCAGGCCACTCACAAGAAGGCTTACAGTGTTGAAAATAACAAAAGGTGACACCCCACAACATAGCACTGCCTGTGGGAAATCTCCCGCTCCACGAGATGCTGGGATCCTCACAATATGTACCCAAACATCTTCCACAGCTAAAGCATGGCATTTCAGGACTGTTGTTGTTAGTGCATGTATTTAACATGCTTCTTCTCAGACGCTCAGCTCTGAAGGTGTCTGCATTCATTTCTTCCTTTACCCCTATTCCCTTCCTGATCATCCTCCTCCATTCAACAAGGTCCATGGCATCTCGGTTTCTAAAAACTGTACATAAAACTGTGAGCATCAAAAGTAGAAATTCCTTGTGTGGGTTCCGAGGCCCCAATTTGTTGAGGGAAAACAAGAACAGACCCACTGCCTCCCCAACAAGCATGTCGCAGGAGTCGAATAATTGGGAACTTTCTTCGAAGTCAGAGTTCAACTGCCCGAGCGGCGAGGAACAAACTACTAAAAATACACAAATACAATTAATAAGCCAGTAAAATGGATGTACATGCAAAACTCAGGGTCTGGTATAAAGCTAAAGTCCAAGTAGACGAATAACTTTCTGTTGGAGCTTACAGCCGGTGAACACAGAAGAACAAGAGGAAGAAAAACAGAAAACACAAAGTTTCTTCTTATTATGATGTCAATAAAAAAGACTGATGACAGCAACACTAAAAAAAAAAAAAAAAGATGCAAAACAATGTTTTCCCATTGTAAATTTGCATAGTGTGGACACAAACAATACATTATACAGTTTACTGCCTGACATATTTCACGGTAATTTGCATACAAATGACTTGCTGCCTGATGACTTTATAAATGTCTTACTGCATTATGATGTTGATGACTTTATTACTGACTTGCTGCATGATGATGATGAATTTATAAATGTTTTGCTGCATGATGATGTTGATGACTTTATAAATGTCTTGCTGCATGATGGTGTTGATGACTTTATAAATGACTTGCTGCAGGATGATGTTGATGACTTTATAAATGTCTTGCTGCAGGATGATGTTGATGACTTTATTTTTGACTTGCAACATTATGATGTTGATGACTTTATAAATGTCTTGCTGGATGATGATGTTGATGACTTTATAAATGTCTTGCAACAGGATGATGTTGATGACTTTATAAATGTCTTGCAACAGGATGATGTTGATGACTTTATAAATGTCTTGCAACAGGATGATGTTGATGACTTTATAAATGACTTGCTGCAGGATGATGTTGATGACTTAATAAATGTCTTGCTGCATGATGATGTTGATGACTTTATTATTGACTTGCAACATTATGATGTTGATGACTTTATAAATGTCTTGCTGCATGATGATGTTGATGACTTTATAAATGTCTTGCTGCATGATGATGTTGATGACTTTATAAATGTCTTGCAACAGGATGATGTTGATGACCTTATAAATGTCTTGCAACAGGATGATGTTGATGACTTTATAAATGTCTTGCAACAGGATAATGATGACTTCATAAATGTCTTGCTGCAGGATGATGTTGTTGATTTTATAAATGTCTTGCTGCAGGATGATGTTGATGACTTTATAAATGTCTTGCTGCATGATGATGTTGATGACTTTATAAACATCTTGCTGCCTGATGATGTTGATGACTTTATAAATGTCTTGTTGCATGATGATGTTGATGACTTTATAAATGTCTTGCTACAGGATGATGATGATGACTTTATAAATGTCTTGCTGCATGATGATGATGATGACTTTATAAATGTCTTGCTAGTGGATGATGTTGATTACTTTATAAATGTCTTGCTACAGGATGATGTTGAGGACTTTATAAATGTCTTGCTGCATGATGATGATGATGACTTTATAAATGTCTTGCTAGTGGATGATGTTGAGGACTTTATAAATGTCTTGCTGCATGATGATGATGATGACTTTATAAATGTCTTGCTGCATGATGATGATGATGACTTTATAAATGTCTTGCTACAGGATGATGTTGAGGACTTTATAAATGTCTTGCTGCATGATGATGATGATGACTTTATAAATGTCTTGCTAGTGGATGATGATGACTTTATAAATGTCTTGCTGCAGGATGATGTTGATGACTTTATAAATGTCTTGCTGCATGATGATGATGATGACTTTATAAATGTCTTGCTGCAGGATGATGTTGATGACTTTATAAATGTCTTGCTGCATGATGATGATGATGACTTTATAAATGTCTTGCTAGTGGATGATGATGACTTTATAAATGTCTTGCTGCAGGATGATGTTGATGACTTTATAAATGTCTTGCTGCATGATGATGATGATGACTTTATAAATGTCTTGCTGCAGGATGATGTTGATGACTTTATAAATGTCTTGCTGCATGATGATGTCGATGACTTTATAAATCACTTGCTACATGACGATGTCGATGACTTTATAAATCACTTGCTACATGATGATGTTGAGGACTTTATAAATGACTTGCTGCAGGATGATTCTACAAATGACTTACCGATGCTCTCAACCTGATAACACGGACCAGGGTAGTGCTGATAGTAATGGAGATGGTAACCCAGAGAGTAGCTGCAGGAGAAAGGAATGTTAACTTGTCAACTACAGTTGTGCAACAATGTAAATGACAGCAATACATGTGTATGTGATGCATTTGAGTGTGTTAATGGATATATGTGTGTGTGTGTGAGTGGATGCATCTGGGTGTTTGTGGATGCATCTGTGTGTGCATGTGTGTGTGTGTGTGTGTTATATGTGACCTTTGTGTGTGTATGTGTGTGTCAGGATGTGTATTGATGCTCATGTATCTGTCAATGCATGTGTAGATGCATGTGGTGTATGTGTGTGTGTGTGGATGCATATGTGTGGATAAATAGTTGTGAATGGATGTATCTGTGGGAATACATGTGTGTACGGATGTATGTGTACATAAAGAAGGCTCAGGTCCTTGAACATCCCCTCTCCCCCAATGTTTTGTGTGTGTGTGTGTGTGTGTGTGTGTGCATGCATGTGGGTGTGTATAAAAATATATATATATATCAGCGCCCCTATCCATTAGCAAAAATTGTCTAATCCTGAGTAGAGATTTAACTATTTTAAACTAAGCAAGTCTGGATTCCCCAAAAATTCCAAAACAAATACTATTTCTGTGTGCTTATTAGTTTTGAAAATGATAAAATATGTGAAAATTCATTGTGATAACAAATAAAATGAATTGCATGCTGTCTCAGGGGCGTCACAACCCAAATTTGTTGACTGTCTGTGGTTTTAGAGGACAATACTATGTCCAGTAGTGTGCTATAGTTTTCCACCAGGGTACAAGGTTTGGGATACAATAAAGTTTGTCCAAAAACACGGTGAAGAAGTGAATTTATTTCTTAATCTAAAGAAAAAAAAAAAAAATGATGTACAATAATTACATCATACCAATCATGTATTAAAATCAACAAAAAAGATACTGAAAATATCAAAGATTGTGAATATTTAGACTCAGTAATAAACAATAATGGCGACTGCACAAAAGGAGTCAGAAAAAGTATGACTTTAGCAATGCAGAGACTAAACAAAATAAACAACCTATGGCATAGCATTTGCAAGCAAGTTAAATTATACATTTTGAGATCATGCATCCTTCCCGTGGCAACTTACGGGTGTGCGTCGTGGACTCTCATTCAGTCTTTTAAGAAGAAAATCTGAGATTTTAAACTGAGATGCTACAGAAAATTTCTTAGAATACCATGGACCAAGAAGAAGAAAAACATCAACACCATACAGGATCTAAACATCAAGGAGAACTAACTCGTAAACAGCATCTTCTCCCGAAAGCTGACATATTTTGGACAGAACATCGCTCTCATTGTGGACTGTCTGAAAGAAACTCACCAGCTCTCCCACCTCATGTTGTTTCATTTCAAGGAGTCACTTATATCCTGTGCCCATCTTCATGGTGGTCAGCCCCTGCCCCTCCTTCCTGGTACTATGCCTTCTGCTATTATTTTTTCCAATCTGTCTCTGCGCTTTATATGACCAAAATATTTCATCTTCTGAGACAAGATGCTGTTTATTAGCCAATCTTCCTTAATGTTCAGATCTTTTAAAATGTAAGTATTTTTAATCTTCTTTTTCCATGGTATTCTTTCTATAACATTTTAGCACAAAAGCCCCTATTTTCTTTCTTAAGGCCTGGGAAATAGTCCATGCTCATATCCATGCTATCCCATCCTTCTTCTGATTTCTATCAAACAGTCTCCGCTGCCACTTATTACAGAGCCTAGATTCCCATGTGGGTTCCAGGTCCCATGGTGGGGAAAATATGAATAGATCCATTGTCTCTTCAACACGCATGTCGTAAGAGTAGACTAAATGGAATTCCTTCAGATTCGAAGTGCATCTGCCTGAGAGGCAAGGAACCAACAGTCTGCATAAATAAGGGAGATCTGTAAAACGAATGCTCAGGCAAAAATCAGGTCCTGGAACAAAGCTAAGTCCAGAAACGGATGAACAACCAGGTCTTTCTGCCGGAGTTTACGGTTGGTGAACGCAAACAACACTGAGCCTAGATATTCAAAGTTAGTGACATTTTCAATCTGTTCATCATTTATTGTTATGTTTGGGCCAAGCCAGTTTTGTTTGTGGACATCATTTTCATTTTCTTTAAATTCAAGAATAGGTTTTGATTTTCACTGTGTTTTTGGACAGATATGATAAAATTTTCTATTCACTTTACATTGTGTGTGTGTGCATGTGTGTGTGTCAAAGGAGGACTGTGTCAGCTACATAGCGAAGTTCCAGAATAGGGTTGCCACCAATAATAAACGGTTCATAACTGTCATAAGTCTGGTCATTTTTGACATTTCTCATGATGTTTTTTGCATATATTTCCATAATAAGTTTCTTGGGATAATAATGTGGTAGTTTCCCCTTGCTTTCCACATCCATATGGCTTTAGACAATGTTCTCAGCCTTCAGCAACATTTTAGATTGCCAGAGAAATCTGTGATGCTCCTGATAACAGCAGGGGGCATCCGAGAGGTGTCGACTTATCCCAATGGTCACTCGGTCCCCATAGCTGGAAAAGAGCTCTTAAAAGAACATCACAGAATATCACACCAACAGTCTACAAGGCTAAGGTTTAGAAAACCAAACTAGTCAGATCAGCCATTTAATGTGAGGGATCAATTACAAGATAAGGCTATCGGAAATTGAGTAATCGAAGGGTGCGTTCAGCGAGCAAGTATGATGACATTCACATTTGTGTTGGGAAAATAGATGCTTAGGGATTCATTTAAAATAAAATAGTTATTGCCATCAAATGCAAACATTTAGCCATTTCCACACTACATTTTACTGGACCCCAGCCCAAAATCCATCATTTTGTCAGAATACACTATAATTTGTCCAAGGTGGTCTCCGCAAATAAAACGTTAATATCTCCGCTTACAATTGACTTAGATGCTTCTTTAAGTTATCGTTGGATAGCACATTTTAATCTCTATCATCTGTGGTGGTTTCATTAGTAACAACCCAAAAATATAAAACTTCACTAGTATCCCTATGTATAAGTAGGGAAAGACGAACAAAATATCATTAGTATCATTAATAATGTTTTCTTTGAAATATAGACACAAATGAATGAATTACATGAGTCTGATCACATGCTGCAGTGCAAACAGTAAAATACTGAACGATGCGATTCTCCCGTACATTATGACAACTGAAAATGTATTGCCGGTTACAAAGAGAATTATTATTTAATCAATTATTAGTCTGTCCCCCTTGAAAGTCTCTACATCTTCTAGCAGACGCCATGGTGTTTCTTCAAATTGTACCCCGTGAAACCAACCGGATCAAAACTAGGTATGGATTTCTTCTAACAGTCCCTGCAGTAAGGAAAAGAGTGTTAAGGTGCTGTGTCGAACCTGTGTTGTTATTTGCATGTGAAACATGGACAAAAAGCAAACGAGCTGAAAAACATTTATTCGCGGCAGTGATGTGGTTACTGAGAAGTATCAAAATTAATATAATGCAAGGATATTTAAAACAAACGATGCAGTCCTCAGTGAGACAGATGCAAGTCGCAAACTGCCAATTAAAAAATCTGTCAATTACCGCCTTTATTCTACACTTTTGCGCTGTAGGCAGAGGTTCTTTGAGCATAAGGATTTACGGTCAAGTGCTGTCGCCACGACTGTGTAGGTCCCAGCTTTTCCAAGAATTCGAACCCGGGTCTGCCCCCATGAGAGCCCAGCGTTCTAACTGTTCGGTCAGCCACTCAGTTGCAAACTTATAAGAATTTTTTAAAAAGAATCTTCTTTATCTTCTTCTTTTTCGCGTTCACCAGCTGTAAACTCTGGCGGAAGGTTCTGGTTGCTCGCCCACTACTGAACTGCAGTCCTGCTCCAGAACCTGAGTGTTGCGTGTGCATCAGTTTTACAGATCTCATTCTCTTGAATACAGACTGTTGGTTCCTTGCCTCTCCGGCAGATGCACTCCGTCTTCAAAGGAAGCTCCCCAATTAGTCGACTCTTACGACATGCTTTTGGGGAGGCAGTGGGTCTATTCCTGTTTTCCCCACAATGGGGCCCCACACATGGGTTTAAAGAATCGACATTACGGCACTCAGAACACCCATCTTCAGCAGCAAGCGAGTTCTAATTCCAACGGCACCTCTAACTGTCTGATTGTATATCCGTCTCGTCTTTTCCCTTGAGTGTTAAGCGTTGGCCAAATCCCCTGCTCACTCCTTGTAGCACCGTTGTTCGTAGACAGTGGTGATTTATTTCTGCCTCCGCATTGTTCACTTGCTCGCAAAGGACCTTTACAACATCGAATTTGTCATGCATAAATGCACCATCAGGTGGTGCAGAACCAGCCAGTCTGTCTGTCTGTCCGATTCCCATCACACCAGCATATATGGAGAGGATGCGTACAACAGAGTACCATTTGAATACCTGGGGCAAATACTTTTCCAACTCCAAGTATCTCCCTTTATAACCCGTTTGGTAGCCGCAGCACTTTTTCAGAGACGGGCGATACTCCGGTGGTTGTTGGTCCATCAGTCCAGGATTGCCTCAAGGTTCTCCGCGGTCTCCAGTTCTATCCAACGTCTAAACAGTTGCATGAGAGTGGCAGGACCTTGTCGATTGCTGATGACGTCTTGGTATATCGATGCAATAAGCTCACTAGTTGTCTAGTGGGTGTTATTATGTGTGTCATGAATGTTCTTATCACACATTCTACGTTGACATAACTGGTACAAGCCGACACCCACTTAGCCGTACGAAACATCAGTTTATTGACATGTTCAAACTTACAACAGCGTCCAGTCGTTGTCCTACGAAACAGCTTTCGCACACCACATCACGCAGACTTCAACAAGCAGGTTCCTCACGCAGTCACTGACCAGAGTCCGCACCGATGTATCTGGTTGATCTTCTGGACATTACACAGAATCCTGGCTTCACACGTCGTCGTTTGGTTCTCCTTTCACAACAAGCAATCTCACGTTGATATTCTTACCATCAAACTCCCGTCCTTTCACTCCAACAGTTCAACACATACTTACTTGATAAGAATCAAGTCTGAACATTTACCACGGGTTAGTTTCACGTGGCAACACGTGGTGGTCCTTTACTTCCACGTGGCGACCTGTGGTCGAGTCAGCGTGTTTCACGTGATAACTCGCGGTCATCACCTATCTTGAAAACCTCGTATAATCGGAGTATCTGGAATATCTCGGTCTTTTGGGTTAACATTGGGCCTACCCCCCCCCCCCCACCTTCCTAATCTGGGTGAAAATATCTCCCATTACAATCGACATGGAAGAGATAGTCAAGAGTTTGCCAATTCAATGCAGAGTGAACTTGATCGCATCTCTTTCTGGTGTGCAGATTCTAATGCTCGTGTCAACCCTTCGAAGGCCTCAGTAACGTGGTTCTCCTTGAACACGCATGTACTGAAGGCAGACTTACCAGAGGTTTAAAGCAGCGAGGAAATTTTGACGAGAACAAATCTGAAGACATACCTCGGAGTAAGGTTTGATCGCAGCCTGTCATTTAAAGAACATGTTGACCACGTTGTAAAAAAAAAAAAGCACACAAAGGTCTGTCAGCAATGAGGACCCTGGCCGCCGCTAACACTGAGCAGAGACTGCTTCTGCTTCTGTTCCAGGGACTTGTACTTTCTCCCATCGAATATGCTCTAGCCATCCTCACTGTCAGCCATACTCAGATTTAAAGACTTGAGAAGGTGCAAAACGCATTATTCTGGGGTGTACTGGAGACACCTCTTGCGTAGCAATGAGGTACCTTCTTGACTTCCCTACCATGAACTACAGAATCAAATCCTGGAGGGCGTGTGCATACCTCAAGATAAGTTCAGATCTGAAGCACCCTTTGCACCACATGCTCTACAAGAAAAAGGGCAATAGGCTTAAAAGGGACAAATCATAGCTGGATAGGGCAGAGGATGACATCATGCAGGTTTGCAGTCCTACTGATATCCATCCAGGTGAGGAGTGAATACCAGCGTCTAAAGCGCCCAATCTCACATTCTCCTGTGTCGTGACGCTCGATAGGAGTTGTCGGAGCAGAATCCAGCTGCTGTCAATGCAGAGGTATGCGCGCTTATCAGTGACAAGTCAGATGAGACAGATGTGGTGATCTTCACAGACGGGTCCGTTCTACAAGGATATAAGAGTGCATGGGCATTTACAGCTCGCTCTTCAGGCAGAACAGTTCAAGAAGCCAGCGGTGCCTTCTCCATGACCACCAGCAGCATGACGATGGAGGTGATGGCGGTGACACAAGCTTTCATGTGGCTAGAATCACATGACTATTCCGTTGTTATTTTTGTGTAGTTTGACAAAAGGTTGCCCGGCCGAAACGTTACGTTATTTGTGTTGTTTTCTGCACGTTTTTCTGCTTCCCCATTTTGTTGAGCCTTTTAGTCAAATTTCTCTGGAATTCCCTATTCATTGACCCCTTTCCGTCTTTCCAGACGATAGTGTTATTTTGCGCTATGAGGAGGCATGAGACTCACAGCCCATGGCGATGGCGAGTGTGACTAGCAAGACCCGCCCGTGTCAAGAAAAGTCTTCCACAATGATAGCATGGGATTTCAGGATCATTTGTGTTTAATTCGTTTCTTTTCAGACGCTTAGCTCTCATCCTTTCTGCAATCATTTCTTCCGTCAGTCTCATTTCCTTCCTGATATGCCATTTCCACACAACACGGTCCATGGAGTCCCCGGAGTCCCAGGAGTCTACCTCAGTACCTGTATCATTCATGTCCCGCTTGCACACATCTTTATAACGTTTTAGAGGTCGGCCTGGACATCTTCTTCCTGTCTTTAATCACCATAAAGGATGTCCTTAGGGACTCTGCCATCCTCAATTCTCCAGGTGTAACCCAGCCCCCGGAGCTTTCGTAGACTGAGCATGGAAAAGACTGTTGAAGTACCTCCTCTTTCCAGTACGTCAGTGTTTGTGATTTTGTCCTGCCACTTAATGCCAAGTATTCTTCTTAGGCATCGCATGTGAAAGCTGTTCAAGTCGTCTCTCTTGGTGCAAATAGGCTGATCAAGTTTCACTGCCCTAAAGCAGAGTGCTGAGAGCACAAGTCTAATAGACAAGGGTTTTTGTTTTAATTGTGAGCTTTCTGTTCCCCCAAACTCTCTTTGTCAATCTGCTCATTGTTGATGCTGCCGTACCTATCCTGATGTTGATTTCTTGGTCCAGCGACAGTTTACTATTCACTATAGAACAAAGATAGGTAAAATGGTCTACGGTCTCAAGCTCTTCACCGTCAATGTGGACTGTAGGTCTGTCATTAACACCTTGCACCATAACCTTTGTTTTCTTTTTGCTGACTGTTAGTCCAAATTCACAGCACGCATCAGCAAAGACAGTTAGTAAACATTGCAGCTCCTCCTCTGAGTGGGTGATTATTGCGGCATCATCTGCAAACAGCAGCTCTCTGATTAGTACCTCTCTTATCCTGGTTTTGGCCTTCTGCCTGCGTGCATTGTAAAGGCCGTCGTCAGATCTGGAATGAATGAATAGGAATTCCCTATATTCCATAGTCATATCTCCGAGTATAAGTTATTCATAGCTTCTTTGCGTTCACCGGTTGAAAACTCCAGTAAAAAGTTCTGGTTGTTTGTCCCCTACTGGACTTTAGTCTCGTTCTGGAACTTGCGTTTTCCATGCACATCAGTTTTCAACAGATCTGGCTTACTTGTATACAGACGGACGGCTAGTTTCTCGCCTCGCAGGCAAGTGCACGAACATTTATAAGTTGAAATCCCTAATCCACCTCAATACCCTTATCATTTATGCCCCACTGTACATCACCATTACCATTACTACCACTATCATCATCAATTATTACCCTACAGTTTTTCTGAAATTTGCTTGCAAGACTTCTCACTTCCACACTGTTTTTCTTCTTCTACACAATCACCACAGGAAATTTCTGGTTGTTCGTCCACTTCTGGTCTCGTTCCAGCACAAAAGTGTTGCATGCACATCCATTTGACAAACCATTACATTACTATTACTATTTCTACCACTATCACTATCAATTGTTACTCCACAGATTGTCTAATTTATGCCTGCAAGTCTTCTTACTTCCACATTCCCTTTCTTCTTCTTCTTGTTATTCTTCACATTCACCTGCGGTAAACTCTAAAGAAAAGTCCTGGTTG